ATCAGTCACCCGTCTCAGCATTCGACGAGTTCTTGTCGGAGCCAGAATCACCCAAGTCACCAGATGAGTGGATAGAAGCTCAGGCACCAGCACCACGTTGGGGAGAGCCAAAAAACCCCCCCTGGGACGAATCTGCCGTGGGCGCCGAAGATGAAGTGGGCGCTGAGGATGTTGTGAGCACCGAGGACGATGACGTTGAATACTAGTCACATGATGGTTTACCTGAGAAGCTGTCAATTCCATCATTTCCATCGCCTATTGAAAGTGTCCCCACCATCTTCTGAGGATCGTGATGCCCGCCCCCCCTCTCCCATGAAAAAGCCGACGCAAAGATAGCGACATGCTTCTACCTCCCAAGAAAAGCTTTACCAGCTCGTGCGCCTGGATGTTGGAGCTTCGGTGAGCGAGGTGGTGCAAGAGTCGGTCATCCACCACAATTGCCTAGGGGGGTGCAAGATATTCGCAGATTCTCACAGTGCATGGAAGCGTTTGCACGGGCGGGCAGATCTTTATGGTATCGCCCCATAGAGTTGATGGTCTACGCGCAACTCCTCGTTTGGCGACGCAAAGATTGGCCGTGTCTATCGGCCGGCTGCGGATCTGGTCATGGGAGGTGATGAAGGAAATGTAAACGGAAGTGAAAGGAATGAAGTGGAAGGGATCGCAACTCTAGTCGGAGTGTTTATGCAAACGGTGGACTCTGAGCGTGCGCGCCAAGATGAAGGTGACCCAAGAAAACATCTAAGCCCCAGAATGTGATGCAGGCTGTTGGTTGACGTGCAAAAATAATTATTTGCACCCAACATCATCGCTAAGCTCAGCAAGGAGAAAGGAGAGCCAGCGAGCCTCTCAGTTGCCAACGTGCCAGTGTATAGCTCAGTCTCGCATGTGGAAAGGTAGACAAAGGAGGAATGCGTGGAGCGCCAACTGATGAGGCCAGAGCTAAGAGTGAACCCATATTCTTGAGAAGAGTGGCAATCAGGGCAAGAGTCAGCGTAGGAAGAGTCGTTGTAGCACAGATCCTTGCGAAGGAAGTGACGAAGCTCGCCGAGATCCTTGCACAGGAGACGCGCCTGCAGGGCCTTCTTGACAGCAACCAGATCAGCAGAACCTTAGCAAGTAGCACCAAGTCATCCACATAGGCAAGAATGTAATGTCTGTGAGGGGAAGTGAGAATGAAGAGACTGGGATCAGGCGTAGAGGTGGAAAGTCCAAGAGAATGAAGAGAGGAGGCAAGCTTGGCATGCCAGTCATGAGGGGCCTGCTTGAGGCCATACACAGGGCACTTCAGCCCCCAAATAGTGCCTGGAGGGAAAGGGCGAGGAAAGCCAACGGGGCGCTCATGAAGCTCGTCCTGAAGGAAGGCATGGGACACATCCACAAAATGGATTTCCCAATTTCAGCGAGCACCTAGGTCAAGAAGGAGGCGGAGATTAGGGAGACGGGATATGGGGGAGTAAGTGGCAAAATAGTCAATGCCTAAGCAGGATGCACCCATAGATTTGTGGGTGCAACTCGGCGCTACCTTGCCTCGAAGAAAGTTGCGGGTTACCCTGCGAAAGGGTATGGCACGTACTACACCACGTGAGTTACCGTTGCGGCATAGCGTTTAGTGTTTATCTTTTTTGGAATTTCCGTGTTGTGACATGTTTATTGTGTTCCGCAAATACGGCTTTGGGCAAATGACGCAGTCTATGGCCACGTGGTTGCACACAACGCAACTCCAGCACATCTTGGCGAGCCCGTACATTGGAGTTACATGCGACGAAAGCACGGACAGGTGTCGGGGAAAGCACATGATCACCTTCGTTACCTTCATCCGCGAATGCCGCCTTGTCACGGAGTTCCTTGCCTTGCTGACAGTGGAGAAGTGCGATGCTGCCTCGTTGCTCTCTGCTTTCCTCTCCCACCTGCAGGCCCTAGGCGTTGAACTTAGGAGGATAGCCGGTATCAGCACTGATGGCGCAAGTGTGATGATGGGAAGCGAACGGTCTTATCGCTCGCCTCCGCCTCCGCATACCCCACCTCGTTTCGAGTCACTGCATCGCCCACAGGTACGCCACGGTTGCAGTTTGTGTAACCCGTGTTACCCGTGCAACCCCGTCAGCTATACTAACGTACCGCCCATTTTTGTGTTTGAAATGCAGGGAGGCGCTCGCAGCAAAGGATGCAACGGAAACACTCCCCGAGTTCGACATGGTGGACTCCTTGATCCGTAGTGTCGCCGAGCATCTGGGGCGATCAGGCCCTTGGCACGAGCGATTCCTTTCCCTGTATGACGTATTCACGGCTACCAACCTGGAGCTCCAAGGGATTCACAACGTCCATTGGCTCTCCAGGGGTGAAGCTGTTCTGCAACTGGTCGAGGTGTTCCCCGCGCTTATTGTCATGCTGTATGAGTGGGACACAACCTACTATGACTTCGCGACCAGCTACAGGTTTCACTTTCTGATATACTTCCTTGCAGACGTGCTTGAGCAGCTGAACGTCTTGAATAAGACGTTCCAGCAATGAGAGGTAAGCTGGGGTGGTTGCTTCTCTGGCATCTATGTATCTGTGTCTGTAGCTAATGAGAGATATGTTTAGTCAATGTCTCTTGACTTTTTATATGCTAACTCATCCCCAGTTTTGTCGTTTCCCTTTGCTTCCCTTCTCCCTGCCGTTCCCAGCTTGAGATTGCAGGCGTTTACGCACAGACCAGGCAAACCATATCCTACCTGGAGACACACTATGTTGACTGCGGTGACGAGTTCGGAGGCGGAATGAGCGCGCGTCTGTCCCACTTCATCAAGAAGCACGGGCCAGACGATGGTTGCCCCTGCGTGAAGGTGCAGGGAGTCGACTTGGACGGTCGGCCCACCACACACTCGTTCGTGCTGCACGAGAATCCCAGCGGGGACTACCCAGGAGTGGGTAGTCATGACGCCTGCGTCGACCTTTGCACCGCGTTCGTCGAGACGCTCTTGAGCAGCCTCACCGAGAGGTTTCAAGACTTGGACTCACTGACTTGAGTGAGACTGTTCCATCCAGAGGAGTGGCCGCTCGGGAGGGTGGAGCGCAGGGAACCGTGTCTCGAGTGGCTCATGTCACTCGTCTCGCTGTTCAGGGCACAGACGACAAACTGCATTCTACCATGTATGCGTGTTGCAAGCATTTCTGTTGTCAGTGATACTCTTGTTTGTCGTATTTAGTATCTTGGCAAGGGGTTTGTCGCATTTAATATCTTCCCATTCCTCTTGTCTAGCAGGGATCGACAAGCGTCGGGCGATCAAAGAACTGCGTACCTTCTGCCCCATCCTTGCACGTGCCCCGAAGAATGAACGCAGCTTCCATGGCGGGCTAACAGCAATGCTGAAGACCGGCGATTGGACGTCAAGTTACCCCAATCTCGTGCGCCTCTGGATGGCAGTGGCCGTGCTGCCTTGGTGGAGTGTGAGCGGGGGTTTTCCCGCCAGAATATCATCAAGTCTTGGCAGCGTTGGAGTCTCAAGAATGCTCGGCTTGAAGACCTCATCACCATGTCCCTCCTTAATTACGAGCCAGACTACACAGAGGTTGTGCAGATCTGGCGCATCTACAAGAAGCGCCGCCCCTTTGGCAATGTTGCAGCAGCACCAGCACAGGGCTCTCCCTAGCAGAAATTTCTTGTCTGTTTGTCTTATTATCAGACGTTTTTCTTTTTGTTCATTTGGTTTTCCAGAAAATGGTCTAGGTTTCATCTGATTAGACAGAAATGGGTTTTGCGTTTATCTGATACATAAACCTGTGAATGAAGAATAAGTTTGCGATTTGTCTGATGAATCAGGAACATGTTTCGGTTTCGTTTTGATACCGAGACATTTCCCCTTAGGCGTGATGTAGGCGTGGACTCGGCATGCGTGCATGCAGGGTGTTCCCCGATTACCGGATCGTGAACACCATTCATTTGGCACCTCGTCCCTACACGTGACCCACTTGGCCACCATTGCAGACGAGGCTGCAGCAGAAGTTGATTCTGACCAGCACTAGGTAAGTCTCCGTCATACATTGCCCACGGAGGACCGGATGTGTTGTACGTGGTTTGATAAGAAGGGTCGGATTGGTCAGTTTAGAGACAGCAGAGCCACTTCCACATCACAGAGAGCTGAATTCGGCGCCTACCGAAGCTTCAAGAACGAAGTTGCGGTGGCATCACACAAACAAGTGGAGCCACCCATCCCATGGTCCTTTCGACATGCGCGCTTCGTCCAAGGCAGGTGTAGATGCACGGCTGTTGGGGTTCCAGGGGTCCCTTCTTCTCCAACCCCCTCTTCCAACAGCATTCATGCTAGTATCTGCTGCTATTTTCGAAACCCGTCCGTCTCCTCGCCATGGCGGACGACGAGGATGCAGGGAAAAAGTCCCCCCCGCAGGCCCGTACACCTATTACGGGCCTGGACTTTCTGCGTAGGGCCCCGTCAGCCGCCGTAGGAACCGCCCGCGTAGTAGCCGCTGAAGTGGGGCCCGTGAATTGGCCCGAGCTTAATGCTCGTCGGGTTTCAAGCAGCACACCTCCCGTCTCGCCTAGGCCTCCTTCTCACCGTCCCCTGCAATCTCAGAGAGCGCAGTCGTTCGATAGTGCCGCACGTTCAGACGCCGTGCCACTGCTCCATAAGGTGGGGCGCTTTACCCAGAGCACCCTCCGTTATGCAAAGACTGGTGTGCCTCACGTACGTATAGTTTCTCGACCCACCGTGCGGCCTACGCGAGAATAGGCGTCTTCATGGCCAGCTGCACAGGCCGGGAATCAAGACCGAGATCCTGGTCCGTCTACTATTCACGTACCTGATCCTGACAGTCTGATGTCAAAGCTCGAAACAATGGCGAAAGTTTTTTGGAAGGGCAAGTTCAGCTGGCTTGTCATTGCACAGAGGAAAGATGGCACGCCATGCATGAAGTGCAGCATCTGCACGGCTCATGGTCCTCCGCATTGGAAGTACGGGAAGTTCGGCGAGGGCGGGGTTGACATTCAGCGGCAGTCTATGCGGAAGCATAGCCTCGGTAAGAAGCATCAGGACGCGGTCGACAACCAGCTGCGCGCGGAAGGCGCTAAGGTCGCGCAACGAAGCATCGCGGTTTTCAAGAACGCGGACAAGGAGACGGCTCGGTTGAAGCAACTCCTGCTCACGGTGCGATATTTCTTCAAGTCAGATTCCCCGATTTCAGGCTTTGCAGATCTTGTGCGCCTGTTGGCAGATTTGGGGACGCCCGATATACCTGATAAGGCGATCGGAACGTATCAATCCGAGTACGTATCGATGTGGATCTTGCCTGGCTTGTTTGTTTTAGTCACAACCATCTTACCTTTCCTGTGGTTTCTGCGCAGGTACGGCTTCCGCGAGATGACCCAGGCACTTGTGACAAACCTGAAGCAACAGCAGATGCACCACGTCCAGTCTTCACCGTTTCTCGGCATTCAACTGGACGAGAGCACAGACCGTCGAAGGGGTAAACACATGATTGTTTACTCAATCCTTCCTCCGAGACGCTAAGGTCGTGACCGAATTCTTCGGTCACTTGACGGTGGAGAGGTGCGACGCTTCATCACTTCTGACCGTGCTGCTCGCTCACCTGGAGACTACTGTTGTTGACATCAGCAACTCTACGGCATCGCGACGGACGGCGCAAGCGTGATGACCGGTTGTAAAACTGGAGTGGTGACTCAACTGCGGATGCGAGTCCTGCACCTTGTCACGTGCCACTGCATCGCACACAGGCATGTATCACCCATCTGTCAATGTCGGTTAGTATGTTCACTCGGCCAGTGTTCTGATGCCTTGTCTTTTTTTCGTAAACCCTGTGACGTTACAGGGAGGCACTCGCAGCGCAGGACGCCGCGGAAGCAGTGCCTGATCTCAACATCGTCGATCAGGTTGTTCGGAGCGTTGCCGACAGCCTCGGACGCAAAATCATCGTCCACTCACGATGCATCGAGCTGCAGAAAATCCTCCACGCAACTACCCTTGAGATGCAGGGGATAAAGGACGTCCGCTGGCTGTCACGCGGCGACGCGATCCAGCGGCTCGCGGCTGTACTTCCTACGACTATTGTTGTGCTTTGGGAGCACGACAAAGACGCCTACAAGACGGTCACCAGCTTCAAGTTTCACTTCTTCTTGTTCTTCCTGGCAGATGTGCTCAAGGAGCTCAACGAACTGAACCAGAAGTTTCAGCGGCGGACGGTGAGTCTCTAACGCTGGTTACGCGTGAATCTGATTATGAGAACCGTGAATCATACTAACATCCCCCTTGTGATATGTGCAGGTGGACATCACCCGTGTGACCGCCATGGTGCACAACACGGCAGGAAGGCTACGTGCTCGCTACATTGAATACGGCGTGAACTACGCCGAGGATAGTCACTTGCTGAGCCGCTTCCTGGAGGAGCATGGCCCCACTTCCAAGAGGGAGGTGACGGTATCAGGCACGGATGGGGAAGGCAATCCAGTCACCCACAAATTCGATCTTCATGAGGAAGCAATCAAGGGCCAGAATTCCAAGGGCGACATGGAGTCTTGCATCTCTGTCACTTCCCTGTTTGCGCAGGAAGTGGTAAAGCACCTCCTCAAGCGGATGGAGAGCCTTGATTCGCTCATTGGCGCGAAGCTGTTTCTTCCTGACGCTTACCCCGATGGCCCTGCGAAGAGAGGGCGCGTCTGCCAGGAGTGGTTCCAGTCTCTTCGCGAGCTCTTCAAGGCGGACAAGTTTGTTCTGCCAGGTACGCTGCTGTTGATGTCTTTTGATGTTGACAGTCCGAGCCATGCACTAACACCTCTTCCCCCCCCCCCTCCCCTCCCCCACCCACCGCCATCTGTATGTGCCCGCATGTGTGATCATGCAGGTGTCAGCTGGAAAAGGGCGGCACGAGAACTCGTGCCCTTCACGCAGATGATGTACTCCCAGTACAAGGACCAGACGTTCCATTCGAGCCTCAAGCACATGCTGCGCAGCGAAGACTGGGAGTCTTCGTACCCCAACATGGTTCGCATCTGGGTCGCTGTAGCCGTGCTCCCCTCAAGCACTGTCGAGTGCGAGCAGGGCTTCTCGAGGCAGAATGTGATAAAGTCATGGCTTCGCACTAACCTGTGCAATGCTCGCTTGGCAGACCTGATATGCATCTCTTTGCTGCAGTATGAGCCAATCTGGGACGAAGTGGTGACCACATGGAGGAGGGCGAAGAAGCGTCGACTGGCCAAGGAAGTAACGATGCAGCGACGCCTTCACGAGAGAGCTCCGAAGAGGAAGACTGAAGGAGAAAGGAAGAGGCCTGCAGAGGCATCAGATTCAGAGGAAGAGGAACTGACAGAGGCGGAGAAAAAGAGGAAGAAGGGCCAGGCACGTGCAGTTGACAGTGACGATGAGGACGAGGAGGAAGCAGGTCTTGATGTGCGGTCGACTGTGACCCTGGAGTTGTCAGACACTGAGTGAAAAGCTGTATCTAGGCTAGGCTACCTAGCTAGTGCTAAAACTAAATAAGTTAAGTAGGATGTTCACTTCAACCAGACCTTGCCGTAGACTGTGTACTGATCAGAACATTTATGTATTCTTATACTCGACTATCGGTTTCAATAATAACTCCACGCCCGGCAAGAGTAACATGAATTCTGATAGAAAAAAAACATCTGATGCATCAGGATAAGTTTTCCAAAATTTCTGATGGAGCATACACGGAAAATTTGGAAATTTTTTATGGAACAGACGGGCCCAGAGGGCCTGTCTGGTCCATCAGGCGGCCTCAAATGCTAGGGAGAGCCCTGCACCAGCAGAAGAGGGGCAGGAGGATGGCAGGGGCAAGGAGACAGTTGTGGAGGAGTGGGAAGAAGCACAGGCTACTAGCTGTGATGATGCATCGGGCTCTGAAGGTGATTCTTGAGCTCGTGGTACCTTTGCATATGTTTTACAAGGCTGCATGTGATTTTCGCTTTGAATGAAGGACTTTAAGGAGGGACACTGACCTCATCACCATGTCCCTCCTTAATTACGAGCCAAAACACACTTTTTAAGTTTAGGGACACTGATCCATCGGTCTTTTTCGACAAGTAACACTGATTTATCAGCCTTTGAACACAGGGTGACACTGATCGATCAGGGCCTCCAAAACGTGAATCTGGGGGCCTGTCTTAGGGCCTGTTTCAAACCCATCACATCTAGAGAGGGCGGAAGGAATGAGTGATATCAGGGTGGACGAAATGAGAGGGGGAGGACGAAAAGGAAGGAGAGGGGTCAGGCGGGACGGGATGAGAGCTAAGGCAGGAAGGGATGAGAGAGGGAGCGCGGGAAGGAAGGAGAAACAGGAAGGGCTGAGAGAGGGAGGGCGGGACGGAAGGGGCTGTGGTGTGACAAGAACAATGCTGGGGTGCAATAATCAGGGTAGAGGGTGCGGGGACGTGACACTTGCACTGCTGGCGTGAGATGCAAGTCATGGGGGCGTAGGGAAGAAGGGAGGGAGGGAAGGAGGGAGGGAGGGAAGGAGGAAGAGGCCGGATGGTGGGAGCAGCGCAGGGGGCGGGGGGAAGCAGGGCCGAGGGCGGGGGGAAGCAGGGCAGAGGGCGGGGGGAAACAGGGCAGAGGGCGGGGGGAAGCAGGGCAGAGGGAGGGGGGAAGCAGGGCAGAGGGAGGGGGGAAGCAGGGCAGAGGGCGGGGGGAAGCAGGGGAGAGGGCGGGGGGAAGCAGGGCAGAGGGCGGGGGGAAGCAGGGCAGAGGATGGGGGGAAGCAGGGCAGAGGATGGGGGGAAGCAGGGCAGAGGATGGGGGGAAGAGGGGCAGAGGATAGGGGGAAGAGGCGCAGATTGTGGGACGAAGAATGGCAGAGGATGCGAGGAAGGAAGGGGGGGAAGGAGGGCGGTGAGAGGTGGGAGGAGGGAGTAAGTAGGGGAAGAAACGGGAGGGTGACAAGGGTGCGAGATGCAGAGGGAGATGGGAGTGGAAGCAAGGGCGACGGGGGGAAGCAAGGGCGACGGGGGGAAGCGAGGGCGACGGGGGGAAGCGAGGGCGACGGGGGGAAGCCAGGTCGACGGGGGGAAGCGAGGGCGACGGGGGGAAGTGTAACACCTCGCTACCCACTTGGTCAAAACAAGGGTTGTATTGAGGCGCAGCGGATGCACTCATACCCTTACGTGTAAGCCCCACAGGCGTTACACTCGTCCCCCCCTGGGCAGGGAGTTGGCCCTCGCAAGGACCTGAATCTCGCTCCACAGCGACTTCGCTGGTGGGCCAGGCCAGCGGCGGATCGTTCACTGGGTTCGCGACTGGCACATTCGAATGCGATCCAGCCGGGAATCAAACCCCAGGCTCTGAGACCAAATGTAACACCTCGCTACCCACTGGGTCAAAACGAGGGTTGTATTGAGGCGCAGCGGATGCACTCATACCCTTACATGTAAGCCCCACAGGCGTTACAGGAAGCGAGGGCGACGGGGGGAAGCGAGGGCGACGGGGGGAAGCGAGGGCGACGGGGGGGAGCAAGGGCGACGGGGGGAAGCAAGGGCGACGGGGGGAAGCAAGGGCGACGAGGGGAAGCAAGGGCGACGAGGGGAAGCAAGGGCGACGGGGGGAAGCAAGGTCGACGGGGGGAAGCAAGGTCGACGGGGAGAAGCAAGGGCGACGGGGCGATAGGCAGGGAAATGTAGAGAAACGAGCAGCGTAAGCGAGGTCGACGGGCAGCGGAAACGTGGGCGACTGGCAGGGGAAACGTGGGTGTTGGACAGGGAAAAGTGAGCGACAGGAAGCAGCGAGTGTGACGGCAGTGTCCGCGCCCGGACAGGGGAAACGTGGGCGACGAGCAGGGAAGCAGCGAGGGCGAGGAGCCAATATATTACGCTAGTTTTGGGGGACGGGGGGAAGCAAGGGCGATCGGGGGAAGCGATGGCGACGGAACCGACGTGCTGGAAGAATAAGGAATGCCAATATATTACGCTAGTTTTGCCTTGACTTGTCGTTCCTGAGAACCACATGGATTTCAAAGTTCCAGCTTCACTACAAGACAATGACAAGCTTAAATCACGCATGCTAGAATCTCAACACTGCAACATCGGGGATCCCTCTGTCGAACTTGGGCAATGTACAAGTGCGCACCGATTCGCTCGACGAGCGTTAAGTCCTTGATCTCCGATACTCTTCCCTCCGCATGGCGCGAGCTAGCTAGGGCAATAGAACTAAAGGCTGGTCGAAATAGGGGCGCGGCGGGACACCACACTATACTTGTAAAACAGAGTAGCTGTGACTACTGGAGACCATCTTGTTCTATCCGCCTAGGGGATGACGGGATCATTCCATGCAGAGGACATGCGTTGGTCAACCTGGATATCCAAGGATATCAGGAGACCATCAGCGTTTTTGTCTTACCCCTCCTAGCACGCGTAGACATTGTCTTGGGAATGGATTGGTTGCGGCCTAATGAGGTGATATTAAGTTTCCAAGATAACACGCTTTCATTCACAAAGAATGGAACGACGTTTCAATGGCAAGTCCCAAAGCGCCATGCACTGGACGAGAAACCTCAAAGCCTGGCTCTTGATGTGCGCTTTGCGTCGGCTCTCCAATTCAAAGAGCATGTCAAGGGAGCTGATACATTTTTTGTTGTACAGCTAGACTCTGAACCAACCCCTTCACAGATTCTTGAGGACTTCCCACCTCAAATGAAGGCGTTGGCAGAGGAATATTCCGAGGTTTTCAAACCAATTCCGGACGGGTTACCTCCCGACCGTGCAGTTGGCCACACCATCCCGGTGGAACCAGGAAAGGCACCACCGTTTAGACCTTTGTATCGCCTCAGTCCAGCTGAGTACGAGGAGGCTAAGCAACAAATTGAGGAATACCTCAGGAAAGGATGGATAGAACCCAGCGCGTCCCCATATGGAGCACCTATCTTGTTCGTTCACAAGAAAGGGGGTGGACAGTCAGAGGTCCACTGGTGATCCCCGATTGATCCTAGGGAAGGGTTACAGGCACGTTGGCCTGGGGGGTTATGGGCGCACTGACCCGCTACTTAAACAAGCCCTTTTATCCCAGTGGTCTAGTGGCTGGGATTCTGACATGGTATTAGAGCGAAAGTCTCGAGTTCGAATCCCGGTGTATGCACTTCGGGCATCCCAGTGCGGGGGGGTGTCAGAGGTCCACTGGTGATCCCCGATTGATCCTAGGGAAGGGTTACAGGCACGTTGGCCTGGGGGGTTATGGGCGCACTGACCCGCTACTTAAACAAGCCCTTTTATCCCAGTGGTCTAGTGGTTGGGATTCAGACATGGACTGCGCATGTGCGTCGATTATCGAGCCCTGAATAAAATTACGATAAAAAATAGATATCCGCTTCTGCGGATAGAAGATCTATTTGATCGACTATAGGGTGCGCAATGGTTCAGTGCACTGGATTTGGCGCAAGGCTATCACCAATTGTGTATAACAGAGGACGATGTTCCAAAGACGGCTTTCCGTTCGCCGTTCGGCCATTTTCAGTGGCGTGTGTTAAGTTTTGGCTTGACCAATGCTCCGGCCTCTTTCTAGAGGGCGATGAACGACGTGTTTCGTGATGCGATTGGCCAGTTCGTCTTGGTGTACCTCGATGATATCCTGGTATACTCAAAAACCGAAGACGAGCATACAGAACACTTGAAATGGGTTCTCGAAAAATTACGCGAGCATAAATACTACGCACGTTTGTGGAAATGCCATTTTTACAAACGTGAGCTGGAGTATTTGGGGCACGTGGTGGGGCATAACGGATTGAAATTGGACCCCAAGAAGGTAGCAGCTGTCCAGGAGTGGCCCGTCCCACGTGACGTTGGCCAAGTTCGGTCATTCCTGGGCCTGGCGAATTATTTTCGTCGCTTCTTGGAAAATTATTCCACGATAGTCGCTCCCCTCACGGCATTGACCCGGAAAGGGTGCATATGGGAGTGGACTCCACAGTGCCAAAAGGCCTTCGAAGAGGTCAAGCATAAATTAACTAACGCACCAATTTTGGTGTTGCCAAACCCACAGAAACCATATGAGGTGGTTACGGACGCCTCGACGGTGGGACTTGGTGCAGTACTCCTGCAAGAAGGACGCCCTGTGGCATTTGAGAGTAGAAAACTCTCCCCGGCAGAGCAACGCTACACGACGACCGAACAAGAGTTGTTGGATGTCATACATGCGCTAAGAACATGGCGATGTTACTTGGAAGGGGTAGAGTTCGTGGTCACCACTGACCATTGTCCGAACACATATTTTTCTACCCAAGGTACCCTCACTCGCCGTCAGGCCCTTTGGGCTGAACTCCTTAGTGGGTTCAGTTTCGACATACGTTATTGTGCGGGTTCCACGAACCTGGCTGGCCCCCTCAGCAGACAGCCGATAGGGGCAGCAACTGGGCTTGACGATACCGAACATGCGGCTGTTTTTGCTGTCTGTTTTGGCATACTAGCTGCGGCGAAAGTGAGCGAGATCGCGTTCAGTGGTTTTCTGAAACGAATTCGTACAGGACATCATATTGATTCCTGGTTCCAGAACCCACAAAACACCAGACATTTGACAAGGGAGCACGATCTTTGGTGGCGAACAAAAGAGATTGCGGTACCTCAGGTAGGTAATCTGCGGAACGATATTTTGGAAGGGGTGCATGCCACTAAATATGGGGGACACTTGGGCATGAATAAGACCCGATGGGCCCTACGAGATGTGTATTGGTGGCTAGGAGTCGGTAGTGATGTCCAATAGTTTGTGGCACGTTGTGACACGTGCGTACGTAACAAACCGGACACACAGAAGCCTGGTGGTTTGCTTCAACCACTTGAAATTCCGAGTGAACCTTGGAAAAGCGTTTCACTGGATTTCATCACCGACCTCCCAAGAACCCGTGATGGGTATACGACGATACTTGTCTTTGTAGATCGCCTTACAAAAATGGTGCACTGCGTACCCACGACAACAGACGTGTCAGCAGAGGATACTGCTCGGTTGTTCGTAACACATGTGTTCCGCCTACACGGATTGCCACGTGTATTAGTGTCTGATCGCGACCCGCGCTTCACGAGCCGATTCTGGCGTGAAGTAACCGAGACACTAGGAACGAAGCTTAAGATGTCGTCAGCGTTCCATCCCCAGACAGATGGGCAAACGGAACGGACTAACCGCACTCTCGAGCAGATGCTTCGTTCTTTCATAAGCCCAACACAGGACAACTGGGACGAGTTGTTACCCATGGTCGAGTTTGCGGTTAACAACTCAGTGCATGATAGCACACATGAATAACCATTTATCCTGAACTGTGGTCGGCATCCCACAACACCTGCTACGCATGGGATCGGCGGTTTGAAATTACCTGCCGCAAAGGATTTTGTGGGCAAGCAACGAGAGGCCCTAAAGTCGGCACGTCGTTGGTTGCAATTAGCCCAACAAAGGCGAAAATCCTATGCCGATATGAAACGCCGGGAAATTTCGTTCTCCGTTGGAGACAAAGTTTTGTTAAGCACGAAGAATATTCGGCTTAAGATGCCTGGTGCGAGAAAGTTGTTCCCTCGCTGGATTGGGCCCTTTGAGGTGGTTCAACGAGTTGGTGCAGTAGCGTATAAACTCAAGCTACCTGATACCCTTCAGATTCACAATGTCTTTCATGTGTCTCTGTTAAGCAAGTACGTTGCAGAAGGCAAGTACTTACCACCACCAACAATCGTCCTAGGGGAGGAACTGTACTATGAAGTCGAACGAGTGCTTTTGCATCGTGATCGACGACGCGGCCGCAAGACTGTACGAGAGTTCCTCATTAAGTGGAAAGGCTATGGGCCTGAACACAACTCATGGGAGCCGGAAGAACATTTGACTGATACTACGGTTCAGTCTTACATGGAAGATCTGGCTCAGCGAGCACTCCCACAACCAACGGATGGTGTTGACCCTGGTCGTAATGTGGTTCGTCGTGCTCGCAGCACTCGTCCTAAGAAGCACCCCACGGCAACGAGGACGTTGCCAGCTGGAGGGGGAGGAGTGTAACATCCGTACCCACTCACCCCTGGTCTCGATACATCGAACCAGAGGTGAAAGGGACAGTGGGTTGAAATGTGATTGGTCACGAATTGAAGGGAAGCGAGACTTACGGGAAAATTGGGATTGACTGGAAAACCAACCAATCAGGTCGTCCCTACTGTTGGAAACAACTAATTCTAAACGCCTCTGTCGTGTCGAAACACCAAGTCAGAAGCGAAGCAAGGCATATCGAAGCATCGGCGAGTCAACCCTCGGAGGTTGAAACAACCGTCAGAGGTTACGCGAAAGTCAAAGGTCATCGACCTTTGACCTGACAAATGCAGCGCGACAGCAAGGACACACAACTGACTCGATATTGAGCAGTTGCCCGAGTCGCACTGTATCGAACCGCAACAGCAACAAGTAAAACAGTTACAATTGTATCTGTTCGTATCCCTTGTACTCATATATAATCCTGTATCCCTTCGTTTTAATTAATCTACTTTGCCCTCACATACTAGCGCAAGGTGGTTCACAATACTTCATTAAACGCTTCCGCTATCACATCAGTCCTACCCAGAGTTCATCCCTGTAAAGATCCTAAGGGCTTTCTCAGCCCAACACCTACAAAACTGAACCTACGAAATTGGTTTGAGTGGTTCAAAACACAACCCACGTAAGTTCAACTCAGCACAATTGGACCAATCAGATCACAGCCCCAAAAGTGAGTCTGGCAACATTTCCGCCGCTCACTTCAAACACAACCAATAAACATCAAACACATGTTTGTGATTGCTGTGCAATTCTTATCCTTGCTATCTAAAATATAATTGGTTGAGAACCTTGTTTGTTGCCACATGGGCAAGGCCCAAGGGAGTGCACCCCTCCTTGCCATGGGGAAGGTGGCTGCACCCCAAGGGGGTCTAGGGAAGGGGTCTGAAGCCTCTGGGCTCATTCTTCATTTTCTACTCCCAACTAATCAATTGGGAAATAGGATTGTTTTCTCCTCAACTCACCCTCCAAGATTTGTTACTGCATTTTCCCAGCAACTCTCAGACTTGATCATTTCCAGGAGCTGTTACTCTCTGGTTGTCTTAATCATTTCCAGAAGCTGTTACTCTCTGGTTGTACTAGAAGCTATTGATATATGGGTAAATGCCCTTTCTCTTAGTAGATCCGTTACAACATTCGTCAGTCCATCCTTCCAGCCTTGACCATTCCAGCTGTCATCAATGGACGAGTCGCGCAGCCGCTACACATCACCGCTCTCACCCACTCCTCGCGTCACCATCCGTCGCAATCCGTCTGATCGTACGCCTGCCATTGCGTCGAATCGTGAGGCTACGGCTTGCATCGAGTGTTCGTGCGACATTGACGGGCTGCCCGATGCCGTACTTCTGAACATCGTCCACCACGTCATCAGCAGCAGCAAATCCGTTCATGGAGCGACGACCGCAATCCACGCAAGCAGCGCCCCTCCCTTTTCAGCAGAGTCGTGCCCTAACGGCATAACCATCACCACTCGCGATCGCGTGCATGACTCTGCAAGACAGAGAGCACCGCCGTCGCCCCCAACCCCCCGTTGCTCACCTGCGCGCTCGTCTCCCGCCGCTGGCTGCGCCTCTCCGCGCTTCTCCCCCGCGCCATCACTGTCCCGCCCGGCCTTCTCTTGCGCCCCCGCGCTCTCCTGCGTACCCTCTCCGCCTTTCCCCACCTGCGCTCCGTCACGCTACACGTGGACTCTTGCCGCAGCAACAGCAGCAGCAGCAGAGGGGCCATCAGTGATTGGCTGATCTCTCGCCTAGCAAAGCTGCTGCCGCAGCTGACGTCACTGTCGCTCGTTGGCGTTGCCGCAATCCCAAGGCTCTCCCCGTTGGCTTCCTCCCTGCTGTGCTTAGAGATTCGCGGCGCAGGGGAGGGGCTGACACGTCTCTCTGAAAAGAGCCTTGGGCGGCTGACGTGTCTGCAGCAGCTGGTTGTGAGGGACTGCTTGGCGCTGCGCTGGCTTCCGGCATCTCTTGCGCTGCTGCCGTCGCTGCAGCGAATCAGCGTGGAAGGATGCTATCTCGCCACACTTGATGCTTGGACGCACCCGGATACGGATGGCCGTGGGTTGCCGGCTGTGCCTTCTGTTGGGAGGGTTGGGGTGCGAGAGTTGGGGGAAGGCCCAAGGAATGACATCAAACGCAGTGACGATGCTGACGTGGTTGTTTTGGCGGTATCGGGGGGTGCGAGTGATGGGGAGGATGTGGAGGCAAGCTGCGGGCAGCAACGGCCGCATGGGTGGCGAAGGCGACAGCGGCGGCAATGGAAGAAACTCCACCTCTGCCACGGCAAGGTTCAGCAGCAGCAGCAGAAGCAGCAGCAGCCGAGTAAGCAGGGTGGTGTCGCCACTGTCTCTGCAGCAGCACAGCCACGCCAGCCCCTGTTCTTTTCCAAGCTGCAACACCTGGAGCTTGCTGACGTGCCAGCCATGCAGCACCTGCCACGTGGCATCCTCCAGCACCACTCACTGAAGCACCTTGTGCTGGACGGCTATCCAGGCGAGTACCTTTCTGCTACTTGCAGTGTCAACTCCGAGCCAACCAAGTCAATGCTTGAGCCTCCCATCCGCATGCCCAGCCTGCAACATCTCGTGCTACGCAACCTTCCCAAACTTTCCCACCTGCCCGACTGCCTTTCCCTACCTGCCGCCTGCCCGTCTCTCACCATCCTCTCCATCGAGAACTGCCCACGGTTCTCCTCGCTCCTCACTCCTCCTGCCAGCCTGCACACCTTAAAGCTTCACAGTCTTCCCAACCGCACAGCCATCTGCGACCCACTGCGTGCGCACTGCCCATCGCTCTCTGTTCTTGTTATAGACCAGTGCGCCAACCTCCATACCGTGCCGTGCTTCCCATCGCGCAGCCTGTCGCACGTGGAGATTCGCAACCTCCAAAGTCTCACAGCACTCACAAGCCCATCCTCGCTCCTCAACCCCTCTGCCTCCTCCCCTCGTCTCTCCATACTTGCCATCGACAACTGCCCTCTCCTTGCTATAAATGCCTCTGCACGCACACCCCTTGCCTTTAACTTTCCACGCCTTAGCGAGCTATGGCTGCACGACCTTCCTCTGCTGCACGAGCTACCGCCCTCCTTCTCCTGCCTCTCCTCCCTGCACCGTTTGGTCATCACCCGCTGCCATGGGCTCAACTCACTCCCTCACTGCCTGCCAGAGCTCCCCTTGCTGTGCGAACTTGCCCTCGTAATAAACCACAATCTCACCGTCCCCATGGATTTCCTGCCACAGCTGCACTCGGTGCGTCGCCTGGTGGTGCATCGGGGGCGTGAGAACAAGACCATCATCGCACATCATGGGAGGGTGAGGCCAAAGTTTGCGCTGCCCCCGCGCGTGAAAGAGCTTCACACGGATGACTTTGGGAGTGATGTATTCCGGCTGCATGAGCTGCAGAGACTGGGGGGTACTTGCCTAAAATGAGTATCAATGAGATTGGGGTCATGGAGGAGGTGATGAAGGTTAGCAGAGAAGGTGGGAGGAGGGATGCAGGGGAAGAGGAGGGCAATGACGGATTTGACGTTAAGTGTTGGGAGGGCGGGAGACGGCTTCCGTGGGTGACCAGCGTGCCGGAGAGCAATGGTGAGGACAGCAGCAGCGAGATAGCTGGCAGGAGCAGGAGCAGCACAAGGGAGCATGGGAAGAAGCACCTTCTGCCTTGTTTGCAACGCCTGTCTCTTGCTGACTGTGTTGTTGGCCCCCGCTTCCCTCCCTGGATGCGCCACCTCACGGCCTTGCAGCACCTCTCTCTCACCCACGTCCACCAATGCACTGACCTTTACTGCCCTGCGGAACAATTCAACGAGCCTCACCAATTGCGGCGCCTGCTCAAAGCTTATCTGCAAGACGAGGAGCATTGGGAGAACCTCACTTCACTGCACCGGGTTGACACATGTGCGTGCTGCCCAATCTTTGTACCTTCAGAGTGGCAGCCTCTTGTGCGTGCCGTTGAAGCAGCAGCAGAAACAGCAGCTTGTGGAGGTGATGTGATTCGACGAGCAGGATTTGTGCTTGGAGACTTGGGAGGAACTACCGGTATTGGTCTATGACCAGCGCATATATCCTCACAAGCCCTAACTCATAGATACTGGCTTGGGAAATGTGAAACACCATTGCATTGAAATAAATCAACTAAACCCTCAGGTCACAGAAACTTGACGGATCATACAAGAGACAACGACCCTCTGAAGCTGCCTGCTTCAGTTTAAAGCTGCCTGCCAATTCTGTTCATTCAGACTGCTTCATAATCAACCCTGGGGCCAAGTCCAATGAGAGGCAGGACTTTGATTCACTGTTACTGTACATGTACACCTCAACGGTCGTGGCAGCGACGGAGTGAGAGACCGCCACAAGGGCTTGAATGAAACTCCCGTAGCTTGCATGGGCAATACATGGAGAAGCACGTCATGACACCATTGTTCCCTGAGACGCAGCAACGCTACAGTGAGACAACACCAACAACAGCAACGCCCCCCTACAAAAACCAGTGCTTTGTTACAAGCACCGTCCACTATACTGTAGCTGTGAGACCTGCCCCCTGTACACATGTGGCGAGCAGCAGCGCACGGCAGGCACACACTCCCGTGGTGCAGTGGCGCCGTAGCACCCAGGCACAGTGTCAGTCACCTTCCCAGTCAGCGTCGGGCTCGTCCTTAATCTTGACATCAGCATCCTCCCCGAACTGAATGGCATTGTCCACCTGCGACAGCACGTACTGGATGCTGCCATGCCCACACGCAGGCGCCAATGCGTTGCACACCATTGCACCCCAGCACATGCCATGGCACGGAGATGCAGTATGCAGTGGCAAAGTTGAGGTAGGTGAACGGAAGGGGGAAAGTGGTATGGAGAAGGGTGGAGCAGAATAGCAGAGAGTGGAAGAAGACGAGCTTGAGTCATGATCGATGAAGGACACGAGCGGGCAGGCACGGCCAAGCCAGTGGGAGGTTGGTGCAGCGAGGTGACACTGGAAGGCACGTGGAAGGTGTGGGAAAGGCATGGGGAACTTGTGAGGGTTGGGAGGGGGTGGAAGTGTGGGAGTGATAAGTGAAAGAAAGTTGAAGGCTTGAAGCGGGTGCGGGTTTGAGGCTGCTGAAAGGGAGAGATGGCGTGCCTGTCTTCGTCTGAAATGTCAAGCGGAAGGAAGTTGACAAGGCTGTAGTCATCCACCTGCCATGCATGCACCGCACACACACAGCACATGGCGGACATAGGGGGAGAAGCAGTGAGAGACAGACATGAGGAGAGCCACAGAGACAGACAGAGAGGCACATTCTTCCCACCCACAAAATTACACTCCTCTCCCCGACCTTCCCACTCCTTCACTCTCTTCCACCCTCTCACATCCCATCGGCATCACTCCCAGCTGACATCACCCTGTCGGTGCTCCTCTCCTCCCTACCCTGTGCCTCCCTCACAACCCCCTTCATCCAACCCCCCTGGAACCGCATCCCCAGGCGCGTGCACGGACCAGCTGGGCGATGGCGTGGTTGAGGCGGGCAAAGCGCGGCGGCATGGAGCGATCCAGGTCCGCCAGCAGCATGGCCGCCTCTGGCTCCAGGTACCTGCCGTGCACCCGGGGGAGATGGGGGGGAGGGGGGGGGAGTGTGGCAGAGGGCAGGGGGATAGGAGAAGACAGAATGGATAGGGGAGTAATGCATCAAGTAACAATGGGAGGCGGGAGAAGGGAACATATATGAATGGGCCGGGGTGAGACACCACAGATAGCATGACACGGCACAGCAGAGAAGAGGAGAGCAGCGCACAGTGCAGGGCAGGGCAGGGCAGGGCAGGGCAGGGCGCGTGGAGTCACTTTTCGATGGTGCGTTTGTCGTGCAGCAGGTCGACCTTGGTGAGCACGTTGATGTGCGGCAGCTCCAGCTGCACCATGGCTGACAGCGACGCCAGCATGCCCGCTATGAACTTCGCCTCGTCATTCATGAACTGGTGCTCACCGCACACAGAGAGTGGGGGGGAGGGGGAGAGGGGGGGTGCGGAGAGGGGATGGCACAGGGACGAGGGAGGGACATTGAGAAAGAGGAGCCATTAGGGAGGTGTCTCGGATCGTGCAAGCGAGTGGTGCAGGGAATTGCAGCACAGATGTGTGGTGCATCCATGGCGGGGAGCTGACACACGCACTGCTACGGCCCTCCTTCACCTGCTCCACCTTCGCATTCCCAACCCACCAGCACCCTGCTCCCCTCTGCCAAGCACATTTGCGGCAACAGCGACATTGACAGTACCTGCAGGTGTGGAAGTACTAGTCTTGTCGTCGCCTTGTGCCACGACGACACTGCCTGTCCTGCCTGTTGCATGTGCTGCTGCTGTGATGGGGTGTGAGCTGCACTGCGTGCAACCGCTTTGCATAGCAGTGCAATCAGTTGACTGCCTTCGATAAATCTCTTGACACCCACCTTCTCGTACCTTTTCAGAGAACAAAGTACTACTTGAGAGGGAGAGGGAGCGAGAGGCATGGGGCATGTGGGCGTGCCGCAGAGGGCGCACCTGGGAGTCGATGAGGTAGACGGCGCAGATGTGGAAGTCCCAGCGCTTCAGCTGGTCCACAAACGTGCGCAGCACCGGCACGTGCGAGTACAGCTCGATCTGCCCTGCACACGGCACATGCCATGGCGCACACGGGATGGGGGCCCACACCACACCACACAGCAAGGCACCAGGTTGGGGGGAGAGGGGCTGAGCAGGTAAGCAGCAGCACGGCCTGGGACAAGTGGCTCGATGGAGGCACTACAGCCACGAGGATGTGATTTGTTCGATGGAGCACTAGAAGGAGCGCGGCACACATGCGGCGGTGGAATGCATGGCAGGTGTGGCTTACGAGCATGGCAGCACGTGCTGTGCACCGATGCAAGTGAAGTGCGAGAGCAGCAGCAGAGCATTGCAGTGCAGCAGTGGCGGGTACCGGGGCAGTCGAAGACAAGGTAGTCGTCGTCATGGAAGTCGTCCAGCTGCCCCTTCAACCAGTCATCCAACGACTCCTCCAGATACCTGCCGCAGGGGGGAGAAGAGACAGGGGGGCCATGCTCAGAAACCCAGAGATGCGGCACCAGCAGGTCGAACAGGGCGTGCGGGGTACGGCGGGCCATGGCATGGCAGGACATGGCATGGCAGGGAGTGTGGCATGGCATGGTATGGCATGGCAGTGAGTGTGGCATGGCATGGCATGGCAGGGAGCGTGGCATGGCATGGCGTGGCATGGCATGGCATGGCGTGGCATGGCATGGCATGGCATGGCATGGCATGGCATGGCATGGCGTGGCATGGCATGGCATGGCATGGCATGGCATGGTGTGGCGTGGCATGGCATGGCATGGCATGGCATGGCATGGCATGGCGTGGCGTGGCGTGGCATGGCGTGACCTGGCGTGGCGTGGCGTGGCGTGGCATGGCATGGCGTGGCATGGCATGGCATGGCATGGCATGGCATGGCATGGCATGGCATGGCATGGCATGGCGTGGCATGGCATGGCATGGCATGGCGTGGCATGGCGTGACCTGGCGTGGCGTGGCGTGGCGTGGCATGGCATGGCATGGCATGGCATGGCATGGCATGGCATGGCATGGAGGGGCGGGCACGGACTCCATGGCGAAGATGAGGCCGCCGTTTGGCCCGAGCTTGAGCTCGTCCATCACGTCCTCCAGCGCCACCAGCTCCCTCACGTCTGCACACCACACCCCATGCACGCACATGCAGGGGGTGTTGCGGGTGAGGTGCGGGGGGTGGGGATGTGGGCACGGAAAAGATGGATGGGGAAGGAGAGAGTGAGGACGAGGAGTACGGGGGAGAGTGAGGGTGAAGGCATTTGGGTGGTCAGCAGAAGGCGGGGAGAGGCCAAGAGCAGCGCGAGCGTGGCTGTGAGGTGCTTCACTGCTGATGGCGCTGCTGCTGTGCTGGTGCAGCGTGATCAGGGGTGCACGGAGAGGGGGGAGCGATGGAGTGTGCGAAGACCCCCGGCCAGGTGCACACAGCGATGAAAGAGAGAGCGAGAGGGAAAAATTGAGAGAGAGAGAGAGAGAGAGAGAGAGAGTGCGGGGCGCTGACCGATGGCGACGTTGTATTTGAACTCGTCGGCGGCGGGGTCGAGGTTGACCACGTGCGCACTGCGCCCCACGCTCTCGCAGTGCTGCTGCACCGTGGCGCAGTACGTGGACTGGCGCACGGCGCGCAGGGGGGGCGAGGCGGACGGGAGAGGGGATGGGCGATTGGGGAGAGGGGAGTGAGAGAGGGGGGGGGGGGGGGAGAGGCGAGGGGAGAGGGGAGAAGGGCGAGGGGAGAAGGGCGAGGGGAGAAGGGCGAGGGGAGAAGGGCGAGGGGAGAAGGGCGAGGGGAGAAGGGCGAGGGGAGAAGGGCGAGGGGAGAAGGGCGAGGGGAGAAGGGCGAGGGGAGAAGGGCGAGGGGAGAAGGG